CGGTTTATGTCATTCAAGATCAAAATTTGCAACAAATATTTTCTGAATTTGCTCAGCGAGCTAATGACCCAATTGGGTACCTACGTACATCCTATCATTTAGCAACACAGTAAATATAACTAAATTACCGATTATGATCAATTTGTCACTTTTGACAACTTCTTATTTGATTTTTAAAAATAAAGTCTTGGTGACGAAAGGTTCAGTGACGAAAGGTTTGGTGACGGAAGGTTCAGTGACGAAAGGTTTTGACGAAAGGTTCGGTGACGAAAAGTTCAGTGACGAAACGTTAGGGAACCACAACAAATATTTTCTGAATTTGCCTTTAGCCACTTCTTCCAATTATTAATTAAGCTCATTTCTTCGTACGTATTTTTTGCATTTATTAGCATATTATTACCTAAATTATACTATGAAGATCAAGAGGAATAAGTTAAAATTATTAGACATTTATATGTAATATAATTGAATGTGTAATATAAATCGCCCCTAAAATCTTGACCCGGATAACTTAGATACTGAAAGTTTTTATCACGGCGAGTCCAACCTCTATTTTCCCAAATGACTTTATTTTTCATCTATAATTTTTCGGGGTTCGTTTAGAAAACTTTTTATTATTCATCACGAGAAATTTTACCAATTTCCACCTCCTTTTGAATTATCTGTCTAGTTGAATAATTAACATTAAAAGAACAATTCTGTTTTGGATAACCAGGTGTTAAAACAACCATTATCAGATTTGCATGATTTTCTAATCGTTTCATTTCTTTCTCTGATACCCCAAACTTTTTACCGAGATATAATCCTTTTCTTTTATTAAGTTCTTCTTCAGAACTCCAGCTGAGCGGTTTATTTGATAATTCATCTAAACTTACAATATTTTGCCAATCCCTAAAATTAATAAGCGATATTTAATTAACCTAAATAAATTATCTAACCATTCCATATATGTTTGAAAAAATTTTTGCAACAAATAAAGCAAGGATGAATCGAAATATAGCAATAATACTTTAATAACTAGCACATTCAATGTTGCGCCATTTAGAAATCCAAATTGACCATCATAGATGAAATGATCTGAAATACAAATAAATGATAGAGCGTTTTTTATTTTGATAGGGCGTATTTTTGGTTTATTTTTAAATAAATTTCTAAAACTTGTTTCAAAAAATGAGTACATTCAGATTTTTCTAGAAATATTTGAATTGTAATTTTTGTGTGAATTTGGAATTTAAGAAATTCATTCTTAATGACCGGGCTCCCGGAGATTTGGGGAGTGGACATTTGGGGAGTGGACAATTGGGGAGTGGAAATTTGGGGAGTGAGCGGACATTTGGGGAGTGGACAATTGGGGAGTAGACATTTGGGTAGTAAGTATTAAAAAAAATTTAAAAATAGATTTTTTGGCCAATAAAAATAATTTATACACTAGTGAAGGTGTTTTTCTGGAGTTATAAAGGGTAAAATTCAATTCCCCCACTTTTTTCCTTGCTCAACGTATTAAAAAGTGATCAGTCAATCTTAGTCGAGCTTCGTCGAATGTCAAAGCTCCCACTGTATCGTTTTTAGCGCCGCAGGCAAAACGTTTAAGAATATTTGAAGGCGAAGAAGCTAGATTTCTTCCTTTTTCATCACCGCATGCGAAAATTTTGAGAATTTTGAGAGGTTAGTTAAACGGCGTTTAGAGTGACAGTATCCCGTTTATGCCGTTTATCTAAGACTATACCATTCCGTTTAATTTTACCAAAAAACCCATTTACCATATACCGATTATCGTTTAGCTAAACGGTTTTGTGCTACCCTAATTTCTAGTGAAACCATGACCCCCGACCGAAAAGTCAATCCCGACTCCGAACCCCGACATGCCTTTACCAGCAAACCCCGATCACCGACATACCAGCCCCCGAAGGGAGGTTGCTATCCTACTTTTATGGGTGTACTCAACCGGCTACAGACATCAAAATATCTTTAAAATCTTTGAAACTCCACAAAAACACCTTCACTAGTGTATAAATTATTTTTATTGGCCAAAAAATCTATTTTTAAATTTTTTTTAATACTTACTACCCAAATGTCTACTCCCCAATTGTCCACTCCCCAAATGTCCGCTCACTCCCCAAATTTCCACTCCCCAATTGTCCACTCCCCAAGTGTCCACTCCCCAAATTTCCGGACACGAATGACCGAGATGTTCAAGGTTAACCATGGGTGTTCACTGTCGGTTAACCGAACCGAAAATCGAGTGTCATGTTAATAACCGACAGTAATAACTCTAATTTTAACACACACCCGATGTGGTTAAAATCATAGTCTTAAATCTTTTCTTATTTTTTTTCTGAATTTCAATATTTTATTATCAGTTCGATAATATACATTTATTATTTAACTTATCCAGAAAATTAACAAACTAAACTTACTTTTAGCCCATTTCTTAATCGTCTCGCAAATAATTAAAATTTATTCACATTACCAGTCATTTCTATAAATTTTAGCATAATATTATTTGAATTATACGAAGCAAGTGAATATATTTCGCTTTCAATTCCAGATAAATCTTCGGGTTTGTACAATTTTTTTGATTTTTGTCTCTTATGTTCTATTATTTCCTCAAATTCTTGATTATTTAATCCATTTATAGGAAAAGTATTTTTTAATTTTTCTGATTGAATTTCATCAATTATTATAAAGGAAATATCAAAATTAATTCCATTTTTATTAAATTTTATTATTTTAATTCGAGTATGCATAATTTTGTGAAGCTTTTTGATTGAATAATTCTAAATTTTATAATCATATTTTATTTGTAGGGTTATTTATTCTGGATCGAACTGAAGAAATGAAAATTTTTCGGTTCCAGATATCCAGTAATTTTTCAAGAATCGACAACCGACCTAAACTATTGGATCTCCATGACAAGGAATTTTAAATTAAAATTCCAGTATTTTTCGAAATAATGCCCTATATAGCTATATCTTTATATTATCTCTAAAGCGTTACAAAAATCCATAAAGGTGAAAACAAAAAAATTCCCTCTAAAGTGTGACTCTGAGTGTTTGGAAATTTAAATTTTTTTTCGTACTGATACTTGAGTAATTTTTTCCCATATTCTCGGACACAGTTACGAATAAGATTTGGGTACGTGTTTCCAAACACTTGCGACTCTCGTAAGGAGGGTTTTCAGGAAACATATTAATCTCTAAAAAATACTTTACATTGCATAAATAACAATAAAGTGAATTGTCATTGCATTTTATATTTAAAACAAAAGGTTGACATAAATCAAAATCTGGATTTCCATAAAAGATATTTATTCCATTTATTTTACAATTATCATTTTTCTTTTTATGCAATACAACAATAGCATCAAAATCTGAGTCAATAGTTTCTGTCTTTAATTTTCGAGAGCCGTTCAATAAAAATTCAATCAAATGACAATTTTTAAATTTAGCCCATTTTGAAATAATTGAAACGATTTTGATTATCTCTTGAGAAGATCTATCTTTAACGATTGATGAATCAATAATTTCTGTCGATCGTTCATTAAGCTTAAAATGAATAATTAATCGAAAATCTCATAGAAATTATCAGGCAGTGTCTCAGAAAAACTTGTTCTGTTTTCCGAATAAGGTTCTGAGATCTTGAAGATATACGTAAAGAGTTCACGTTCTTGCATTTCTAATTACATAACTTATATGAAAATAAAAATGTAATCGCTTAATTTTTTCGAAAAAGATTAAAAGAATCCATTGAAAATTATAATTTCTTTAATTATAGTACAATCTGGTTTTCATAAAAACTACTATTTTTAGATTTTATAAAAAAATTTTTATTAATATTTACAATATTTCTTGCAAATTCTTTCTGAACATAAAAATAAGGCAATTCATCAAAAATTTGAAGATCTATTAGTAAATTATTTTGAGTTGATGCTAAATTTTTAGAGAATATTTTTAAAATTTTTTTGAAATTAATTAACTAACTTATTAACATTTTCTGCATTTTTTTAACTTCATAATTATTTAAATAATCACTAAATTCGTTATCATTTGTATTATTTAGCAATGAAAATAATATTCTTTTTTGTTTCTTTTGTTTCATTAAATTCCATTGGCGATTAGTATTTAAATTTGCAAGCCTTTAAAGGTTTATTTATAGCTGGAATGGTGTTTTTAATTTACCCCTCCCCCACTCCCTTGCAATTTGCTACAATATAGCTGAATTTTCAAAAAAAATTCCGAGGAGGGATACAGACAGTTAAACTTCCGAAGTGATTTTAATTTTGATAATTACCTTTGCTTATGCAACTTCATTTTAACTGCCTTAATTTCTTCATCTATTAATTTTTGATTGGTTTCGTTTTGTAGATCAATCCAGTCATCCATAATCATTGATAATTCTTTTAACAATGAGTGGAATCTATTTTCCAGCTTCGTTAATTTTTCCATGTCATTTACAATGGAATTACCGTTGTAAATGGTTTCGTTAAATTCGTTTTCCAATTTTAAGACCAACTTCAATAAAGAGCAATCACTAACATTCTGTTTGTCAACTTTTACTTTAATAAATAATTTTTATTTTTGATTAGTAATAATTTTCCTGCTTTAATTATGTGTCGGATTCTATAGCTATAGTTGGCGCATCGGATCTGAATCCGAATATTTGGGGATTTCCATGATCCGCCAACCTTTCTTTTAAAAAATAAGAAGAGTTGGTCTCTGACCAAGTAAGGAGAATTTTATGAGAAGCGGGGTATGGCTTAATGCCGGAAGAAAAAATACTAAGTGTTGGTCTCTGACCATGTAAGGAGAATTTTAAGGGAAGCGGGGTATGGCCTAATGCTGAAGACCGGGAATCGGTGTCCGCATTAGGCCATACCAGCCCTAAATTAAGCGATCGAAGCATTCCGAAAATTGGAAGGAATTAATTTCGAAAGTTCTATAAAGCAAGATCCTACTATTTTCTTTTATCTATTTCACCACTAGAATAGAGGAATAAAAGCTTTAGTGTAAATTTTTACTAAATAAATTCGAGAAAAGAACATTTTCTGCTGATATTAAATCAGTACCTTGAAATTCTCCAAAAGTCAAATTAACATTTTTATCTTGACAGCTATTCTTCATTCTAATTTTTTGGAGGTGCATAAATCGTTTATTAAGTTCATTAACAATAACTCCTAGGTCCAGCGAAGGAATAATCTTTCTAGGATCTTCATTACTTGAAATAAATCTTATATATCTTTCATCTAATACATCCTCCTCTAAATAGTTAATTGGAGTAAAAGGAGAAAATTTTGAGGAATTGGCGATTTTGTTTGAAGAAACAAGAGCCTTGCCATCTTTTTCAGCATTTTTAGATTTATTTTCCTCTTCACTTTTTTCTCCTTCATTTTTTAGCTTCAATTTACTATTCTCACTCAATAAATTTCTCGAATCCTTTCTATCAAGAATTGCCTTGAAACTGATTGCTGGATTTACAAATAGTTTTTTATCTTTAATTTCCTTTGGGTTGTCTATTTTTTCCAAATCCTCATTTATTCTTATTTTATTGTCAATTATACTTTCATTGTTAAAAATACTCTTCTTCTTCATCTCGGCATCATAATATTTTTTATAGTACATTTTCTTAATATTATTAAATGAATATAATGATCTATCCACAATATCTTTTCCCTTCATTTTGTTAAGCTTTTTTAATTTTTCTTCCCCTTCCATCCTTTTCTTATCCTCCCTTCTCTTTTTCATCTCATCTTTTTTATTCAGCACCCAACCTCCACTATCCTCATCATTTTCGACGTTATCCTCATCAAAATTTTTGTAAAATTCAGAATTTTCACATATTTCATTATTAAGATGTAAATTTTTGTCATTATCATAATCTATGATTCTATATCTATGATTCTATAATCTATGATTCTATAATCATAGAATCTACGATTCTATGATTCTATATGACATTCAATATACACCACCGGAGGTAAAAATTTTGAGAATTTGGTTGTTCATAAAGCCATATTTCATCATTTTATAGCGCTGCAGGCTGAATTTTACTGAAAAATAATTTTTATATAAATATAAAGATAAGTTATTTTACCAGTTAAAACAATTAATTTAATACAAACTAACTGTAAAAGGATAACTGTATTAAACTGCATTAACATAAATCTTTGATGTTACCGGAGAGATTTCTTTTGCTTGAAAGTGAAACATTCAGCTTAAAAGTGAATTTCTGCTTAAAAGTGAGAAATCTGGTTTATTAGTGTTCTAGAATTCACAAAATTTTCGGCTGCAGCATCCAGGTCAAGAAGGTTAAGAAATTAAAACACGATTTTTTTTGGATTAAAAATCTCGATTCATCAAAATGGTAAAACAAAAATCTTGACTACCTTGTTTTCAAATATTCTACATTAGTGGTTGTTTTATTAATTATTAAATAAAACATTTATCAATTCTTTAATAAAATATTATTAATTATTTAATAAAACATTTATTTAATTTTTTAATAAAACATCCGCAAGAAAAATAAATAAAAAATATCTATTTTGATCAAAAATTTAGATAACTTTTCGTTTAAATCCTAAATTTCTTTATGATTAATTATTTAGATAAAATAGCTTTTAATTTTAAATAGATTATTAATATTATGATTTAAAGCTAGTAATCTTAAAATAAAATTTAAAAATTAATTTAAGTAAGTTTAAGAATAAAAATTTGTTTGAATATTAAATTTTATAAAATTAAAAATAAAATATAACTTATTATTAACTTTTCTTCTAAGTTAATAATTTTGAGAATTTTATAAATTTAAAAATTTTAAAATTTATAAACTGACAATTAGGGTAAAAAATTTTTAATGTAAAAGGATATATTTTAATTTTGGCACAGTCTATTGAGAGGGCAACTAATCAATTACTCATTTTCCCTCTAACAATTTCTTTCATAACACCCTAAAGATCACCATGTTCTTATTAATTGATCTAAAGAAGAACAATAATGGATCAGGTCAATTAAAAAGCAAATTTAAGTTTCGATTACCAATTGAAAATATAAATTTGAAAGTTGCCATATGTCGTTTTTACATTTCGAAATAATTTGTTAGATTCTGAATACCTTACATTCTGAATTCCGCCATTTTTTGCAAATCATTTTAAATTTTTGTAAATTTTGTGAAACTTTATTTCTTCCCATTTATTTTTAATTTTACCGTATCCCGGACCCTGTACCAAAAATATTTCAGCCCCAGACTGGAATTCTCAGACTGAATATTTTAGTCCCAGCTGTAATTCCCAGTCCTAAATATTTCAGTCCCAGACTGAAATTTTAAAGTTCAGTCCTAGACTGAAATTCCCCTTACAATTGTAACTCCGTTCATTCATTAAAAGCATTTTAATTTTCATTCTTTTATTTTTATTTAATCGATATTATATATTTTTAGAATTTTAAATTTTTTACCTTTAATTTTATTCAATATTTTAAAATATTTTATTTTTAGTTTTAAAATTTATTTAAATTATAAATACGAAATTTTTCGAATTTTTTAAATTTTTTGGTAAATTCCCACAAACAACCAAATTAAGAGAAAAATTTTACTGTAAAAAGGATGTTTTTTAATTTTTTACCGCAGATGACCTTGGGGGGAGGGAAAAACGTAAAATTATTTAAAAAAATTAAAAAAAATTCTTTATTTAAAAAAATTCTTTTTTTAAAAAAAATTCTTTAAAAATTCTTTAAAAATTCTTTTTTCTTTTAAAAAAATTCTTTATAAAAAAATTCTTTATTTTCCCTTTATTTTTTATCTTTTTATTTTCTTATAATTATTTTTTGTACTTGTATCTTGTCACATCGATGACAAAAGAAATTAACAGCAGAGAAAAAAAGATAAGTGTACATAATCCTTAGGTTTCCTCTTGTTTTCCTTAGTTAATCCCAATTTTCTCAGCTGAGACATGTGGGACAACATAGAAAGTAACAAGTATTTTTTTTTCTTTAAAATTTTCTCAAATAATTTATTGAATAATGCCATGGCAATTATTTGCCATCCTCCTATATAATTTTGCCAGCTATCCTATCATTTACACTTAAAGTTGTTTCAAAATTTCGATTATGAGGAATTGTTTCTTTCGATTTTAGTTTAGACTTTTTTGGTGTTATATATAGTTAGAATTTTTTAAACATTTGACTTTGTGAAGTTAAATGGAGGCTTTCTGAAATTCTAAAAACTTTTCCTTGTTGCGCAAAGAGGTATTTGTTTAATATTTTGACGCTTTTACTTTTATTTAATTATGGCTTCCAAAAAAAAGTTTTAATTCATTGTGCTACGGAAAGTGAATTCTTTATTTGAATTCGTTTGACTAATTAGGTTTTTGCTGAAAAACAAAACTAAATTTAGTGTTCAACTATTTAAAAAAGATATTAAAATTCGAATATTCGAATCGTTCGATCACTATCACCAATAAAATTTTTAGTCTTTGAGTTTATATCCCCAACATTCGCAAATGTTTGTCCACACTTTTTTTTTCATTCCTTCTCCTCTCAGAAAATTATAAATGGTCAAGTATTAATAAACCCCGATTTTCTTTTTCTTCTCCTTCTTTCTCCTTTCATAAAGATTAAATGGTCAAGTAAAAATTCAGGACAGACAAATATTCGTTCAATGAAAAATATAAAAATAAAAACGAGATAATGTTTAGAAATTATGTTTGTTATTTCTGAGGACATAATTTTTTGCTTTGCCTTCCAATGCTTAACTTCATATCGTGGCAATTTACATAAATTTTATTTGTTGGTAGCCAAAATTTTAATTTAACAATAACAGAAATCCGAATATTTATACAATTGAAAAACAAAAATTAAAAAAAATTGTTTAATTTTACAAAATAAAATAAAATAATAAAAATGAAATATAAATATCAGTGAATAAAAGCTGTTATGGTTTAGTTTCTAATCAAATAATTTTTCAGTTTAGAATTTAAAAAAATGAATAATATCAACTTTAGTTTCCTTCGTTTCCTCTCAACGTTCTTTAAAATTTACAAATTTATTATTTACATTGTTGTAAAGATTGCTTTTCTTACAACATATAATTTTGACGTATATATATTTTCTCAAAATTTTCTTTCGTCTTTGTTAATATTTTCCCCAGCATTTCTGATAAATTAGTCTCTTTGCTACTTTTATTGTACACTTTGATCTCGGAAACGGCATTTTCAACTGCTAGTCGTGCTAAAAAGGAATCTTTAGAGGAAAAAAGGGATCAGGAGGAAAAAAATGCCTGTACTTAAACCAATTGAGGGCATAAAGTGGGCCTTTTTATTTATATCACTTATATCCGCAATAATTGCCGAGCCTTTCTCTCCTTTAATTTCGTTTACTGGATTAATTGTTTGTTTAGTTTCCATCTCGAATGTACTGAAATGATCCAAATTAATAATTTGTTCTGTATCATTTTCATTTGTTTCTTCAAATTTATAGCTAGTACTTGCTTCTTCTTTTGCTTCTTTTTCATCTCTTGATTTAATTATCACTTTAACTTTATCATTATTTTTGTATAACTCATTATATACAAAATTAAAAAGAGCCTTGAACCATCGTTTTTCTAGTTCAACAATAAAATCATCAAATTTTTTCAAAACATCATTATGTGCTTTCTCAGCCTTATTTAAAGGTATTTATCTCGTTTATGAACCTGCATGTTCACTAATAATTTTTTAGGAAACGTCGGATTTTTCGGAGTCGTTAGAATATTAAGAATGTTCCAATTGTTTAACAGAATGAAAACGGCTCTTGTCCAGTTTATGCGTCCAATTGACTTTTATGCGTCCAATGAAACTTTATGAGTCCAATGAAACTTTATGAGTCCACTGAAAGTTTATGCGTCCAATCAAAAGAAAATTGGATTTTTCTTTATATTTTGAAGTTGGGGTTGGGTTCTTTAACATTTATTCATGTTCGGGACCTACGCCCACTGCTGGGACCGTTCCTTGCCCTATCACTCGAAATTTCTGAAAGTTGTGGCCAATTTTTAAAAATTTCGGAAAAACAATTATAACTTTCCGAAATTTCGGGGGATAGGGCAAGGAACGGTCTCAGACCCAGTGGGCGTAGGGCACGAACATAAATAAATGTTAAAGAATCCAATCCCAACTTCAAAATATAAAGAAAAATCGAATTTTCTTTTGATTGGACGCATAAACTTTCATTGGACGCATAAAAGCGTTTGGACGCATAAACTGGACAAAAGCCTAAAAAACTTATAAAGATGTTAAACACATTTTAAAGGAAACATTCTGTATCATATGATTTTGTTTGCTAACTACTGAATTAATTTTTGTAAACGAAAATTTTCGATATTTTTGTGTTAAGAATAAGTTACTGATTATTTATTTACCGTGGAAAATAAATCATGATAACCTATTTTATAATAAAAATTTGGTCATAGTTTAAAAATGTAGATGTATTCTGGACCAATTAACTTTCAAAATTATCAAAATTTTTGCGTGCGGCGCAGATACAAGAAGAAATCTGGCTTCATGGCCTTCCAAGTTTCTCAAAATTTTCGGATATCAGGGGAGTACTATGTTTTGGCAAAAAGTTTGATTCCGGTTAAAATCTAGACATCAATAGGCATTATTTTGTTTTTCACAATTTTAAATGAAAGAACACGAGATAAATACCTTTTTTAATTTCCCTTTGCGAGGTATAAACTTTAATTTGTTCTTAAATTTTTTAAATTCACCATCACATATTTTTTTCTCATTTTTAACTTCTTCAATTAATTTCACAATTGCCTCAGGCGTTTTTGATTCAATTTGTATTTGTGATTTTGTCTCAAATATTCGTACAAAAGTAAATGATTGGATCTTTGAACACATAATACTTCCATATTTATCTTCTTTATATCCAGGTGCCACTCCATAAGAAATTAAAGACACAATTTGCTCAAAACGCTTTCTAAGTTTTTCAGGAAGAAAATCTGCTTTTTTAACTAGTGTATCTATATTTTCTTCACATATATAGCTATGGCTTTTTTGAATATCCTCGTTGTGGAAAAAGATTCCTTCTTTAAATACATTTATGTTATCAAATTTTTTGTTTAATATAGCAAAACCATAGTTTTCAGTAGTTGTTTCTAATTCTAAATTTTTTAAATTTTAATTTAGGTACAATTTTCACAATTGTTTTTCGGAATGATTCATTTATGTATTTTAGCAATGTCACGGGTTTCAATGCATCAAGTCTCGGATATAACATTATGATATTAAGTAAATATCAAATTGACCTCATAAAATTTAAATTGTTGTTATTTTATTTAATATAAATTCACAATAATCAAAATTTTTATTTTTAAAAAGTACCTAAAAATTTATTAGAAATATTATCGTTATCACTATCAACACAGAAAAACACGTCAAATGAAATTTTCCAATATGCTTCAGATTCTCCTTCTAAATTTTTCATTTTGTTTTTATCTTTATTAAAATTCCTTCTGTCAATTTTGAGCCATTTATTAAAATTCCCGATTGGCTTTTTTATACTTTTAATTGAGCTATTGTTTTTAATAGTGGAAGATTTATGTTCTTCATCATTTGTAAATTTATTACCAGATTTTCTCGATAATGCCAACGGCTTCTCCTGTGTTAAATCAATGCCAATAATCTCTGTCTCATCCATAATTTCCAAAAATAAATTTTCTTCATGATTTCCTTTTTGTTTATTTACATGTTCAATTAATTTATTTAACCTATCTTTTAGCACAGTTTCCAAAATTTTACTTTTAATAATAAAACCAATATCATTATCGACGTCTTTTGACAATGATTTATCTTCAACCAAAAGTTGTTCAAATCCAGTACCCAAAATATATCGTAATTGTGACATCCATTTTCGATCAACAAATATATAATGATTGCCAGTGTCCACTTTTGAACTATGAGTTATCAGAGTTACATTCATTCCTTCTAAAAATAATAGTGCAGATTCTTGCAGAAAATATATGAATGAATGGAATTTTTTATTTATTTCTTTCTAAGCTTAATCAGTGGATCTGATGAGAATAAAGGGGATAATGAGAAATGTGACGGATTAAGGAGGATATCGATGGATTTTAAGAGATTAAATGGGATATTAGGAGATTTAAGTGAGTTAGTGTGGGATTTGAATGATATAGGGGATCAAGATGGATTAAGATAATAGCGGTTGATTTAGATGGATGGGAGGTTTTGGTCATCTAGGGTCATGAGTCCTTAATTTAACTACCATCAATAATAATTTACCAATGAATAGCAAGAAAGCAGCATATAGACCGACTGTGTTGCCACCATTCACAATTAGATTTTTGCATTCATTACTTGATTCTTTGTTAAGAATATGGTCATTGTAGATTCTCTCAATCATAATTTTATCCATTTCTTTACTTTGAAATTTTGATAAATAAAGAATTGTTTTTAGTCCATGTAAAGCGGTAATATTTAATAAACTCAATAAATTCATTTCTTTAAGATGTCTTCGAAATGGGGGTCCTTTTTCCATGAAAGAGTATATATCAATCAAAGACCCAATTGACCCAGTTGATTGTAACTTATTCATGAAAATCTTGCAATTTATAACTGAATCTATTATGCTTATGCATTCTACATATTCATTTGCTATGGAACATGCTTTAAAATAGCAAAATTGATTAATAAATTTTATACAAAATTTTTTTAAATACATACCTAATATAATTATGGATCGGATTTTTAGGTCGTAAAATCTTAAAAATAGGTGGCTAAAGAGGTGGGGTCCCGATCCGCGCCGGTCTCTAAAAGAAAAGTCCATCGGCACAAACGTCCCGGCGCTTATGTCGCATCGCAAATGTGCACGCTGCAAAAATCAGGAAACCGTTTTTTAACGCTAACAAATGCAAAAAGAATCGAACTTTTTAGAGAAAAAGGGTAACGCAAGCACACTCACTATGTACTGCACCACAGCGCCAACAACATTGACGCATTATTTAAAGTTTATATTTGGATGGGGAAAATTATGCCAAATTTTGGGACTTTGGAAGGCCATATCTGGTCAGATCAAAAAACGGGCAAAAACAGCTCAAAATCCTTGCTATAAAGTGCACATTCTCTATCGAATGAGCCCGGTCTCGTCCGTTTTTAGGTCGGACACCTCGCAAACTCTCCTTGTAAATGAAATAAATCATAAAATTTACATGAACTTTCCGCCTTTCCTTTTCCAACTTTTTCATCCTCTTGACACTTTTTAACAATATTATCATAATTATCCAATTCTTTTTCAATATCACTAGATAAATTCATGCCATTTAAATATAATTCTTTCCCGGAATCGATAACTTCACTTAGAAGGTTTTTAAAAGCATCTTGGTATATTGAAAAGGAGACTTTATTTTTTGTTTTTTCCGGTGCATCCAAAAGGTATTCAAATTCTTCAAATGAAAGAACATCATTTAAATATGTATTACCAAGGGGTTTGCCGGTTGATTTATCTATTTTAGATGCAATTTTTATATCATAAAGACGTTGGTCGTCAATTTCTGAAAAATCAAATCCTTACTCTTTTATGATCATTACTCTTTTATGATCATCCCAAAAAATAAAAAAAATGGACGTAAATGTTTCAGTAACTTTATTCTTTCGATTTTTACCATTTATTCTATCAGTTTTACGGTTCCAGTTCCAAAACCAGCTCAAGACTTTTATCGGTTCCACGGTTCCAGTTCCGGAACTGGATCTCCCCCATCACTTTAGTATCTTATAAAAGTCCTATCTTTTTACCTTTATCAAATTTAGGTCTCGGCCAAATAAAATTTTCTTGTTGAAGTGAGTCGTAAATTAAATTGTCTTGTATTATTTTAGGTAATTCTGTTTTTTGATCAACAGCTTCATTTTTTTTTAAAAACCAAAATAATATCAAGAAAATTTTAATAAACAAAAATATTTTTGTTTTACTTTTCATTTATTCTTTTAGTATGTAAAACACAAGAATATTTAAATTTTGATGAAGGAATTTTTACATAAACAAGAAATGTTTTTTAATAGAAACAATTTTTTTAAATTGAAAAATCTGTAGAAAATTTATCAAAACCACCTTACAAATTAGAACGATTCGGTACTACCTTTGTCCCGGAACCGGTACCGAGTACATCCGGAACCTTTACCAGAATCGGTATCCTAATCAAAAAATTTAAAAACGGGTTTTTAATTAAAGCACATTAACTGTTAAATATACATCGAAAAACCGGATTTTATTAAGTATTTGAATTCCGGCTATTAGGCCTGGATAACTTAGGCTCGGACACGCCCGATATCGAGCTCTAGCATTAATATTGAAAAAATTTAGGATGTAATGCGAAACCTTAATTAAAAATTATTCATTTTTGGGCAAATAATACATGATGTTTAATTTTAATAAAGTTTAATGTTTAAATTAAATAAAATCTGGGGAATAGGAGCGAATATAAATAGGAAAAAATTTTTAGAGGAGAGAGTGAGGAAATGTGATTCACAAGGCTTTTTAGTAATTTTTTGGGTATGTATTTGTATAAATTCGTATTTAAAATTTTTTTGTAATGTTTTTTGTATAGAAAATATTTGCCAAATCATCGCTTTTCTAGACTGGCATACATTAATTTTTGTTTCCATTGTTTAAATTTTTTTTAAATCTAAGGAATATAGAGATGATTTGATTGATTCCATTGTTTTACAAAAAATTTTTAAGAAATAATTTTATAAGGATCTTATATATACGAAATTATACAAATATATACCCCAAAATTTAATAGACATAATAAAAATTTAAATGGAAAGAGCATCTAAGTTATTTAATTGTAATTAGTCAAATGCTACAGCATAATTTAATTAATTTAATAAAATTTATTAAAAGTAAATTAAATAAACATTACGGTAAAATAAATAAGAATTTAAGACCTCAGCACATGAGTTTAAAAAAATAGACAAATATTGGTTTGTGCTCTGCGGACAAGAAATTTTTGGACCTACATTTGAATAAATTAAATAGAATTTAAAAATTTGTAAGTGAATCCTCGGGAATTCACCTGGATTCGGATTTTTTAAAAACTGATTCAAATTTCAAAAAAAATTTCGAATCTATATGCTTTGAAATTTATAAATATATTCTTGTTGAAATAAAATTTTAAAATATTGTAAGGCTAGTTAAGTTTTAGGTACTTGTGGGGCATCCCCCGGACATTTTGCGGACTTTTTTTTGACTTCACTTTCGACACTTGCCATAATCCTTGAAAATTAAAGTGTGAGAGATCAAATTGATTAAATGTGTTTATGCATACATTTCGTTATTTCCAAAGTCAAAATTGTCGTTAACATAAAATGAAATTTATCTTAAGTTTAGTTTGTTATCTGACATAGGCAAGTGTCTGCTCCAGTTTATAATCATTATTTTTTAAAGTTTCAGATACTCTAAATTCTGCTAAGTTAGTAAATTATTTTTATCGCATTAAAACCGAAACTGTTAACCAAAAAATCCAAACTGTATGTCATTGCTTTACTTTATTAATTAACACGAGGCTTTAGTAAAACGTCCAGCATTTATTTTAAAGACAATTTTTCCACTAAAAAGCATCATTTAAATATAAAATTCTGGGCAATTCCGTCATACATTTTGTTTTTTGAGTTTGAAAAATTTAAGATAAGTAGTTTGCAGATCAGACATTTGCAGATCCGACTTTTGCAGATATTAATTTTTGAAAAAAAATTTAAATTTAAAAAAAAATTTTAAAATAGTAAAAAATCAAAGGATATAGGGGGTGCGTATCATATGTGGGTGCGTATCATGGTTACGCTGTGCGTATCATAGTTACGGTGCGTATCATAGTTAACAGAGTGTAGTATACCGGTGGAAAGGTTTTGATAAAAGACCCATACCAATTCGTCTCGACGAGCTGAGTCGAACGGCACAATTCTTTTTTCCGGAGATTCTCTTTTTCCGTATGTTCAAATGTTCAACGTAGACCTATGGAGCGTTGGCGAGGCACTTGTCTGCAAAAGGCGGATCTGCAAATGTCTGATCTGCAAGTGTCATAACTGCAAGTATCGTATCTGCAAATTTCGGGTCTGCAAAAGTCGGGTCTGCAAATGTCATATCTGCAAGTGTCGTGACACGCCTCAATTGAGTCCCAGACCCTATAACTTATGAAGGGATGGTCACTTTTTTGATATTGTACCATTGGATAGGGCATTAAATAGGCCAAAATATACACTTTTTTGATATTGTACCATTGGATAGGGCATTAAATAGGCCAAAATATACATATTTTTGCATATTTCGGTACTTTTGTGCATATTTGCATATCTGTGCATATTTTGGGAAATTTTGCATATTTTTACCAAAATTTGTACATATTTTGGCATTTTTTGAGAAATTTGTAGTTAAAAAATTAATTTTTAGCAAAATACAAAATTTTTTCAAAATTTTTTTAAAGAATATTTTTTGGAAAAATTTTTTGAAAAATATCTCTGGAAAATTTGTTTCAAAATTTTTTTTCATAAATTTAAAGTCCGTAAAATCTTTTAGAAATGCTCTAAATTGCTATTTTAAAAACTAAATTAGCGTTTTTACTTAAAATATTAATTTTTGAAGCACATTTTTAATGTTCTTTGCTGCATATCTAGTGCATATTTTGGGAAATTTTGTTGATTTTAGTGCATATTTAGGCCTTTTTTGATGCATATATATGCGCATATTTTGCGATTTTTCGTGCATAAATATTTTGACACGCCCTAGTTATGATCGATAAAGTGCCGAAAAATCCGATTTTTTTGAAAAAGTTAGTTTTAATATCATAGCTTTCTGATTTTTTTATATGTTGTAGTCCATCTAATGCACTATCCAATGATACCAAAAACATTAAAAATTAGCAATTCCGTACTTGAGTTATAGGGCCGGGACTCAATTGAACTGCTCCGTGAATTTTTAACATAAAAGTATTCAAGTAGAAGGCTTTTTGGACATATGTAGTCTGATTTAAACAATTTCAAATATTGTCTGAGATTCTCTTCATAAAGAAATTTAATGTTAATTCCTTAAATTCTGTAAGTAGAATTATTTATACTTGTGTCTTTCGAATTTTGTTTAGACTTTTTGGTGATTTTTCGATTTAGAAATTTTTAAACATTTCCTTTGTGACGCTAAAAGGAGGAATTCCTAGTAGTCTTAGCTTTCTGAAATTCATAAAATTTTCCCTTAATACGAAAAGGGATATTTTACGTTTTTGTTTCTTATTTTATTAATTTCGATAATTTAAATATGGACATCAAAAATTTAAACAACACACCAGTTCTATTGCCTCTGCAAAATAAACTTGTTGACTACAGCCCGACATCATCGAAAGATTCTTTTTATACTGTCTACACAACTCCTCCAAATAATGTGCAATATGGCGCAAAACAAATAATGGTGAAATATTTTTATTAATTACAATTAACGATTTAAAACTATTTTAATTGTAGGCATAAATGTACATCATGTTATTGATAAAAATGATGATAATGATTCTATTTTCTTTGATGATGATAATAATTCCATTTTCTTTGTAGATGAAATTCCTCCAAAAGAAAGAAAATCAAAATTTAGTGAAGATATTTTAAAATTTACAGCATTTGATAATGCTCGATTTGCTGCAAAAACAATTGAAATGTTGATAAAAGATGGAGTAGGCCAATTGCCAACTCAAACACCTCAAAAAAACTGTAAAATATTTTTTACATTTAATTATAAATTTGAAACTATTAAATTTCAGCCAAAAAAGAAAAAAATTTATGTTATTGATGAGAGTGATGATGAGGCTGATATAGCAATTATGGAAGGTAGTACATTATCAACTATAAATATTAGTGATTTGTAGATAAAATTTTGTCTTAGAATAACAACACTAAATCTTCAGCAGCTGAAAATGCTGAATTCGCAGCAAAAACGATAAAAAAATTGATTGAAGTTGGCGTAAGAAAAGGCTTATTAGGCGCCAGCTTTCCCAATTCACCATCAAAAATTAAAACAAAATCATATAATAGAAGAGGTCCTCGTCCTGTAAGAAACAACAAAAGAAATAATAAGAATTTTAACATCATACAACATAAACAACAAAATTATCAGAATCCATGGAATCAAAATATTAAACAAATGCGGGTAAAATATTAACTTAAATTTTTAATAAATATATTTGGAAAAAATTTCAATAAGAAAACTGTATGGATCAAAAATCAACAGAATATTTGATAGGAAAAACAAAATAATCTTATGAAAGCACAGAAACAACATCAAAATAATTAACACATGGAGGTTAAAACCTTTATCTTATGAAAGTACAGAAACAACACCAAAATAATTAACACATGGAGGTTAAACCTTTATCTTAATTTTCTAATAAATATATTTGTAAAAAACTTTTAAGCAGAGTAATGGAGCACCTCAATTTTGGTGCAAAATTGTCATGGCGCAGCGTAACATGGCGTAACATCATATATACTTCAAATAAAAATTATTAACTATATTAATTTATATATAAGATTAAACTTAAATGTTTTTAATTTTATATATATCTGAATGATTAAAAAAATAATTCAATAAGTTGATTTTCTAGTAGCTGATTTTATTTAACATGATTAGTAATTTTAGTATTAAATAGTTTTAGCATATTATGGAAACAGAGCAAACAGAAATTGTTATTATTGGTCACGTCGATTCGAGCAAATCAACAGTTATTAGTCATCTTATTTATAAAATGGGTAAGCTTGGCTTGAAAACAACAATGAAATTTAAAGAAACTACTGGTATAACTGATCCTATTAAGCTTGTCGAAGGTTTGTTTTGCTTTTTTATAAATTTTTCCAAAAAATTAGCTATAAATGGAGATTGTGCAGTCTTAATCGTTGACTCTGGAATTGGACTTAATTACATGGATAAGATTTTTTACAACATGGGGGCAATGCATATTGCTAGTATGAATAATGTCAAGCAACTTATTGTTGCTTGTAATAAGGTAGTTAACCACCCTTTTCTGAAGTGAGCTTTACGGCAATTAAAGGAGAAATTATTGAGTATATGGAGAAGAAGGAAACCTATAATCCTGCAACTGACGGAAAAACACAAGTCTCCTGAATGTTTTATTTAATTCTTTTCTATTATTATTAAGCAACTTTTATTTTTCTCTATAAAAAATTTTGAAATAATTTATTAAGGGAAGCCAAGGCCTCTTGGCATAAGGTAAGCCAAGGCCTTGCCTCTTTTCTCCTCTTTTGGCATCTCTCACCTCTCATGCCCTCTCTCCTATATAATATTGCCAACTATCCTGTCATTTCTTCTCAAGGGCATATTCGAAATTTCGATTTTGAAGAATTGTTTCTTGAGAATTTTGTTTAGATTTTTTGGTGATTTTTCAATTTAGAAATTTTTAAACATTTGCCTTTGTGACGCTAAAAGGAGGAATTCATAGTAATCTTGTCTTTCTGAAATTCATAAAACTTTCCCCTGATACGAAAAGGGATATTTTACGTTTTTGTTTCTTATTTTATTAAATTATGGCTTGAATTAATATGGCTTTATGTCTTCCAGGCAAAATGTTTTAGTATCTACTAGAGTCCGGCAAAATCGCATTCCCGGGATCCCGGAACGGGATTTTTTTCAAAATTTTATATGGGACTGGATCCCGCGGGATTAATCCCGTAAATCCCGTAATCCCGGTAATCCCGTATTCAAGTTTCCCGGTATCCCGCCGGGATTCTGGGATTTTCACAAAAAACTTTTCTACATTATAGATATGCTGAATATTGGCGGATTTGGGGACAATATCGGTTGATTTCGACGGATTAAGGGAGGAATGAATAGATATAAGAGGAGTAAGAGGGATATCAGTGGATTAAAAGGGATTAAGAGGATTTGAATGCTTATAGGTCGATTTAGGGGGATATCGGTGTATTTGGAGTGATAAAGGGTGATTTGAGGAACGGTGGATTAAGGCAAATATAGATGATTTAGAGGGCTCAACTGGATTTGAATGGATATATGGGGATCCCTCAATATACTGTTAATCTCCAGATCCACCATATACCTTTTAATCCATAAATCACTGATACCCCCTATTATCCTCCAAATCCCTCTTAATCCTCTCTGTTAATCCCAAATCCATGATATCCCTTTGCAATACTCCAACATCATATATATCTTAATAATCAGGAGTTGAACTTAAGATGGTTTAAACCTTACAAACCAACACTACTTATAATCCCTCTATATCTCTGTTAATCCCAAAAATCCATTCCTAATTACTCGCAATTCATTGACCAAAGGCAAAACTTTTCGAATTTTGGAAGGAGAAGACAACTTTAGTCTTTTTTCAGCGCCGCAGGCGAAAATTTGAGAATTTTGGAAGACCAATTCACCACATTTCTTCCTTTTTCAGCGCAGCAGGCAATTTACTGGTGTAATTATAAATCCCGTAAATTTGAAAAAAAATTCCGGGATCCCGGAACGGGATTAGGTTTTAAAAATTCGACCGGAACGGGATCCCGCGGGATTAATCCCGTAAATCCCGGAATCCCGTTTGTCGCTAAAACCCGGGATTCCGGGACGGGATCCCGTAAAATCCCGACGGGGTCCCGTCCCGTGCCGGTCTCTAGTATCTACTATAGTGTTACGGAGAGAAAATTCTTTATTCGGATTCGTTGGACTAATTAGATGTTGGCTGAGGAACAATGTTGAATTTTGAATTTAAACTATTCGTAAAAAATATTAAAATTCGAATATTCGAATCGTCCGATCACTATCAGTCAATAAAAATTTTTTTCTCAACTAAATTTAGATCTCTCCTCTTTAAAATTCTTACTAAACACTATAAATTTTAATTGTTATCTACTAAATTTTGAAATAAATATCTAAAAAAATAAAAGTTTAACGGGAAAACAAGTCTCCTGAAAGTTTTATTTAATTAATTTTGAGTATTATGTATAACTTTTATTTTTCTCTTAAAAATTTTTTTAACAATTTATTAAGGAATTACTAGGCCTCTCTTGGCATTCCCATCTCCTCTCCTCTCTTGACATCTCTCACCTCTCATATCCTCTCTCTTATATAATATTGCCAACTATCCTAACATTCCTTCTCAAGAGCAGTTTCGAAATTTCGATTTTGAAGAATTGTTTCTTTCGATTTTCGTTTAGACATTTGTTGGTGTTATTTCGATTTAGAAATTTTTTAATCAATTGTTTTTGCCGCGTTAATCGAAGGGATTGATAGTTCTTGGTCATCTGAAATTCTAAAAACTGCCACTTACTGCTCAAAAAGGAGCGTGTCGAGCTAATACAAGGACAGACAAATCAAGGAACGACAAGTCAATGAAAAGACAAGTCAAGTTATTAATTAACACTAAGCTTTAGTAAAACCTATTAAAATTCATTTTAAAGAAAATTATTACACTAAAAAGCATCATTCAATTATAATAAACTTGAAACATACGTTTTTTAGGTTCGAAGAGACACAAATGTCTTAACTCATTAATCATTATTTATACAAGTTAACATTCAACCTGTTTTCTGATAAAATGCTTTCCTCTTAGTTTGCTACTTCTTTCCTCTTAGTTTGCTTTATTCTTTCCTCTTAGTTTTTATTTTATTAATTAACACTAAGCTTTTAGTAAAACCTATTAGCATTTATTTTAAAGAAAATTTTTCAATAAAAACATCCCTCGAGTATAATATTCTTGAAACATACGTTTTGTAGGTTCGAAGAAATAAAGATAGTAGAAAATTTGTAAGAGGGATCATTCTTGATTGACTGAAAATCAGGAATTCATTAAGTTTATTGTTACGGTAATTATTTCCTTTGTCGTAAGATCACTGGAATATATGTAAATGAATGTTCGAGCTAAAATAAGGCTAAACTCAGATATTCTCCTTGAATTTTTGATATAAAGTATTCGAGTAAACTTATTTTTTGAAGCATCAGTAACAATGTGATTTGGACAAGTTTGAATATTGTTTGAGATTCACATGTTAAAATAATTTTAATTTTTTAAATTCTGTGAAGCAAATTATTTTTACCTAAAATTAATTATTTATTAAATTATTTATTCTTTAAACGAATAATTAAAAAATATCAGTATCACCGTAAAACATTGATTGGCTGAATTGTTTCTGTTAGATGGCTGAATTGTTATCTGTTAAAATTTGAAATAAAAATCTAAAAAATTAAATATTTAACGGGAAAACACAAGCCTCCTAAAAGTTTTATTTAATTCTTTTCTATTATTATGTATTAACTTTTATTTTTCTCTATAAAATATTTTGAAATAATTTATTAAGGTAAGCCAAGCCTCTCTTGGCATTCCTATCTCCTCTCCTCTCTTGTCATCTCTCAAGTCTCATGCCTCCTCTCCTCTATAATAATGCCAACTATTCTATCATTGCTTTTTAAGAGCAGATTCGAAATTTCGATTTTGAAGAATTGTTTCTTTCGAATGTTTAGACTTTTTGGTGATTTTTCAATTTAGAAATTTTTAAACATTTGCCTTTGTGACGCTAAAAGGAGGAATTCTGGTTTCTTGGCTTTCTGAAATCCAAAAAACTTTCCCTTGTTACGAAAAAGGATATTTTGACGTTTTTGTTTTTTTTATTTTGACGCTTATCCTTTTATTTAATTAAGGCTTGAATTAATATGGCTTTATGTCCTCCAAGCAAAAAAATTTTAGGATCTACTATAGTACTACGGAAAGTAACTTCTTTATTAGAATTCGTTAAACTAATTAGATGTTGTCTGAGGACATCGTCGAATTAAGAAATAGAGCATTTAGCAAAAAAATATTTAATTCGAATATTCGAATCGTTTGATCGCCTTCACCGATAAAAAATTCCTTTCTCTATCTAATTTAGCTCTCTCCTCTTTATAATTTTACTAAACACTCTAAATTTTAAAATTGTTTACCTTTTATTACATGTGTCACTTCTCTCAGCCAATCACTAAATTAAAAATTATTTTACATTACATTAACTATAAATATTAGTGATTTGTAGATAAAATTTTGTCTTAGAATAACAACACTAAATCTTCAGCAGCTGAAAATGCTGAATTCGCAGCAAAAACGATAAAAAAATTGATTGAAGTTGGCGTAAGAAAAGGCTTATTAGGCGCCAGCTTTCCCAATTCACCATCAAAAATTAAAACAAAATCATATAATAGAAGAGGTCCTCGTCCTGTAAGAAACAACAAAAGAAATAATAAGAATTTTAACATCATACAACATAAACAACAAAATTATCAGAATCCATGGAATCAAAATATTAAACAAATGCGGGTAAAATATTAACTTAAATTTTTAATAAATATATTTGGAAAAAATTTCAATAAGAAAACTGTATGGATCAAAAATCAACAGAATATTTGATAGGAAAAACAAAATAATCTTATGAAAGCACAGAAACAACATCAAAATAATTAACACATGGAGGTTAAAACCTTTATCTTATGAAAGTACAGAAACAACACCAAAATAATTAACACATGGAGGTTAAACCTTTATCTTAATTTTCTAATAAATATATTTGTAAAAAACTTTTAAGCAGAGTAATGGAGCACCTCAATTTTGGTGCAAAATTGTCATGGCGCAGCGTAACATGGCGTAACATCATATATACTTAAAATAAAAATTATTAACTATATTAATTTATATATAAGATTAAACTTAAATGTTTTTAATTTTATATATATCTGAATGATTAAAAAAATAATTCAATAAGTTGATTTTCTAGTAGCTGATTTTATTTAACATGATTAGTAATTTTAGTATTAAATAGTTTTAGCATATTATGGAAACAGAGCAAACAGAAATTGTTATTATTGGTCACGTCGATTCGAGCAAATCAACAGTTATTAGTCATCTTATTTATAAAATGGGTAAGCTTGGCTTGAAAACAACAATGAAATTTAAAGAAACTACTGGTATAACTGATCCTATTAAGCTTGTCGAAGGTTTGTTTTGCTTTTTTATAAATTTTTCCAAAAAATTAGCTATAAATG